TATATATATAATATAGTAGTTGAAAATAAAGAGAAAACTGAATCAGTTCCACTCATAAAGGACAGTAAACTAATGGTACTTTATATTTTCATACATTACAAAACTTCAGCTAAAATTAGAGTTAGTCGAAAAGGGAGCAAAATTTCACTTTCAAGATTTGTCATTGAATAACAGACACTAAAGCTTCAATAAAGTAAAACGAGGAAACAAAATTATTATTATTATGAAAACTTTTCAACTCACTCCGAGAGTAATCCATATACAATATTTGTCGTTTTATCTTCACAAGCTTTGAGAGGAGGAGGTGTTGCACAAGTCTCACCCTCTTCTTCAGCTGAAGCAAAATGAACAAACATAAATTTCTTAGATGAAGCAGATCACACAAATGCATTCTCCAACGGGCAGCATAGACCACAATATTGCTGTAACCTTAGAGGTGTTCCGTGGTTTATTTACATGGTAGAACCAATAAACACAATGTGTCCGCAAGGTAATGGGCCAATTTTCATATGTTACCGGTCAAAAGTGCGCCGAGTTAACAGATACACTGCTATATAACGGGAAAACTCTGCACTAATCCTAATAAGTAAGACAATGAGGATTTTGCTTATTTATGGGTGCATTGTTTTCTTCATTCTAAACAAAACTTTTGAGATATTGAGGTCCCGCAGTGGACTGATCGTTAAGACACGGTTCTCATTAGATCACCGAAGTCAAGCATCACTGGCTGCGGTCAGTGTGCGGGTGGGTGACCCACTTGGATCAGTCTGCGTAGGGACCGAGGGTGTGCGGTATTGGTCCTCGTTAAACTGTGCTACCGTAAAGTGCTCGACTTCGCGCGCAGGTCGTCGGGCTACCGAAGCGGAGGTGCCATCCCCTCCGCAGAGGATCAAAATTGTGATGGCATGTCTTCGGATCATCCTCCGGGATGTTTCCCAGACCGTCGCCAATAGCCCATTGTGCAGCTCTAGTGCGACGTAAATTAACAACAACAACTTTTGAGATATTGAGCATTAGATATTCAATACTCCAATCTCGAAATAACACAGAGTGTTCAGCAACCACCACTCTTCACGCACATTTTGCTAATTCTTCCTGAAAATTCAGTTGAAACGTATAAACATTAGGGGTCGAAAATTTACAATTAAGTATGAAAGAAGCAAAAGCACCATCAAAAAAAATTAGACAACCAGAAAGGAACTCTGGGTAAAAACATCAAAACCAGTTTGAGTACCTGATAAGAAACGGGGTTGTTTCTAAAAATCGCCTTTCAACTCTTCTTCGTTTCGTTCGGCAATCACGTAAGATATCACCCCTTACTTCCTTAGTAATTCAAAAGATTTCGAGAGCGTTATTGTTTTTTCTTTACTTATATATTAATTTGTGATGCCTAATGTTTATAAGTTTTCTTTTCTGTATTTATTAAGGGTTGTCGTATGGAACACCCTCTGTATGAAATATATCCCGATGTATGCTTCTAAAGTTGAAATATGATGTTTCCATAAAGTTGAAATATGATGTTGAAATATGATGACCCATTATTCTAAACAAAAGAATCAATCAGCACAAGTTTTAAACACGTTGTTTTTGAGATTCATATGTAACGCAAAATGAACGAAAAAACAAAAGAAAAAAATCGGTTAAACTGCAGTTAACTAGTTAATGATAAAAAGCAAAGTATACTATAACTATATGTTTTTATAATGTATAAATTATTTTCTCCTTTAATATTTAGTTCGCGAATCGACACGTAACTTTAAATTATCGCACTTTTTTTTTAATTATGACCTACAAGCACTTACAACAAAGCATTTGAAGTAAAAAGGCGAGTTATTTATCATAATTCAAAACCTTTTTTAGAACTACTATTAGTCACCTATGATAAATATGATATGAGAGTAACATCTTTCTGATTCGAGAAATTGTTCCTTATTTTATGTGCATACGATCATTTTCTCACTGTTGAAACAAGTTTAACAGTACAGAGCTATTAATAAAATTATTTTCAAAAAAATGCAAAATTCTTACGGGCTTCAGTCGTAACTGGAACAGAAGTTGTTGGTTGTTCAGTAGTAGTTGTTGTAGTCGGTTTAGCTGTGGTAGTTGTAGTTGGCTTAGTTGTCGTGGTTGTGGTGGGTTCTGTTGTAGTCGTGGTTGAGGCGGATTCTGTTGTAGTCGTTGTTGTTGATTCAGTCGTAGTGGTTGTTGTTGGTTCAGTAGTAGTCGTTGTTGTAGGTTCAGTGGTAGTTGTTGTTGTTGGTCCGGTTGTAGTCGTTGTTGTTGATTCTGTCGTTGTGGATGTTGTTGGCTCAGCTGTTGTGGTTGTTGTTGGCTCAGTTGTTGTGGATGTTGTTGACTCAGTTGTTGTAGATGTTGTTGGCTCAGCTGTTGTGGTTGTTGTTGGCTCAGCTGTTGTGGTTGTTGTTGGTTCAGTTGTAGTGGTTGTTGTTGGTTCAGCTGTTGTGGTTGTTGTTGGAGCAGAAGTTGTGGTTGTTGTTGGCTCTGTTGTTGTGGTTGTTGTAATTTGTTCTGTGGTAGTAGTTGTTGATTCAGTTGTTGTGGTTGTTGTTGGCTTTGTTGTTGTCGTTGTAGTTGTTGGTTCAGTTGCAGTGGTAGTTGTTGATACTGAAATCGTGGTTGTAGTCGGCTTCATTCTTGTTGTGGTAGGTTTCATTGTCGTAGTGGAGGTAGTAGGCTCAGCAGTTGTGGATGTTGTTGGGGCTTCAGTAGTTGTTAGAGGTTTCGACATCTAAAAATTCTCTTAATATTAAATTTCAGGTCAAGGAATATTAAACAACTTTTCTACAATACTTTAAATTATCAAATATTTGGTTATGCAAAATTATTTTGCTCCATTTAGTCGTTTAGTTTTTATTTCTTTCTACCTCGTTTTTTTATTTGCAGAGGGTTAAAAAAAATATTGCTTTCTGAATGACAGTTAAAAGAACCAAAGTTATCTTACTTATTTAGTAAAAAATAAATCAGTTTTCGCTAAACCCGTCTTAATTCAAGAACTTTCTTAATAAAAATCAATTCTTATTTTATTTAATTTATTTATTTATTTATTTTTCTTTTATTTCAGAATAAGAGAAAAATAAATAAATAAATAAGCGATGCATGCATCGTTATATGAAACATGCATCGAAATGTTTCATAAATTTAGTTTTTATGTAATCGAAAACAAGTGCCTAGTATTTTAATGTAAAATACAGTAGGACAATTTCTACAAAAAAAGTTGCCATAAAACATGACAGTTTGTTACTAGATAGCTCAATTATGACTTTTACTAATAATTAAAAGCATAATTAATTCTAAAAATAAACAGTTATAAAAAAATCATAAGGTTCAATGTTGGATAGGATTTTGGATAGGTACAACATACAATTTTTGGTCGGCAAAATTTGTTATGAATCCAAGTTTTACATTGCAAACTATACACCATAACTTTAACTGAATGAGGTTTACGCATATAGCAAACCATTCTTCAAATCTTGTGAAAGGGTGCCTATTTTTGAGCACTTGAAACTTGTCCTTTTTATTTTCATCTATATATTTGATCTATATATCATCTATATATTCATCTATATAATGAAGTCTTTTAAATCAATTAATATCCTACAGCTTTCATTTCTTGGGACTATTTATTTAATACATCTAACTAGTTTCGATTCCTTACTTCGAGAAATTGTTTTCTTAGATTTTAGTTTACTGTTTTCAATTTTTAAAAAAAAACTGAATTTGAGGGTTTTTGGCCAAATTTCTTTAGTTTTGCATTCATCTTCCAGCTCTTTAACTTTTTCTTAGGCGAGTTTACGTTCAATCGATAGTTCCAGTTTATTTCAATAAGGGTTGTTGTTTAAACTACAGCTCTTTGTGAATTACCTATTAGGTGTTGAAATCAATGAAATCTTTTTAATTGTAACCTCCAGTGCAAAGATAGGCATTGAAGTATATTAGTCTGGTAAATCCCTTCCAAGCGGATAATTACTTACATCACAAGAAGACTCATAATTTGGATCCGATTGATTCGTCAAGTTTCAGCTAGTGAAATATCAGTTTCATTAAAAAGTGGTGGATCTAAAGGCCAAGCACTGAAGTACTTAAATCCTTGAACAGAATTTTCGATTATTGTTGCCCGATTCTAAGCCTCTTTCACTAGATTTGACTCTTGGTATTGGTACCAGGATGACTTTTCAAACATTTTTCAGCTGCTTAAATAAAGTACAGTTTAAAAGGCTTGAAAAATGACCTGCTCAGCGGTGTGAGTAGATGCGTCACGCGTCCCGTTAGCTGTAACGTAATTAATGCAACATTCCTCGCCAACTCTAAAGCGTCTAGATTTTTCGAATGAGTCAAATCACTATTAAAAAGAAGTAGAACTTGCATTATACAGGAAAAGGTAGGCAAATTTGCAAACCATTAAATGAGTATTCGAAAGTGCTATTTGATTTCGTGAATTTCAATAGTGTACAAATCATGTTACCTTTTTATTGCTAAGCGAATTTTGGAATAAATTAAACTGATACTTAAAGATATTAAAGGCGTAGGGCATATGTGGACCTTGGAATTTATTTCTAAATCGTACCGGTATGATTTAGGAGCCCCCAACCAGTACAATTTAAGCAAGCAGGTCACATAACGATGCGTTTAATCAATGTCTTACTCCTAGCCTTAAACAATAATTAGCTACATAAGAAACAAGTAAAATATAACAAAATAAGTTATTTAGCAATTATGTGATGCATATAATGATTTGCACAAAACATTAGATCTACTATATCCATACACATGATGTTCAAAATGACATTGAAAATTTGTAAAACCAATAAATCTAAATAAAAACTTAACGCGTGTACACAACGACTTGACTCTTCTGCCTGAATCTCCACGTGAAAAAAAAGACTTCTTAATTTATTCGATGTTGTATTCTACCCTCAATACTTTTTTTAGAAATAAAAGACGATATGATTCAGGAGAGGTACGATTTAGGCAACTTTTTATACCTCCATAGAATAAGGTTCCCCTGCAATAAAACTATTCTTGAAATATAGTAATGAATCCTTCAAAATTGTTTTTGTTTTCTTTTGTTATTTTCATTTCATTAGTTACGACATACTTACAAGTTAAATTTGAAAGATATCGCAATATTTCAATTTCCCAGTACTTCGTTTTTACTGATACTAAAACAGAAATAAGACTCTTAAAAAAATTTTATTTACTAAGAAAATTTATGGAGATATGGCCCCAATCTGTTTGCAGTTAATAAAATATATCACCATATAATTGGGAGCAACATGCAACTAAACTAATGCATGAAAGGCAGTAAAACACTTCAAAATCAAATTATCCTCATAGACTTACGTGGTAAACCTGATAACCCTCGTAAGCACAGCCACCATCAGAACAATCCTCTTCATTGATATATTTCAGAGTATAACAATCTCTTGAATAATCACCTTCCTCAACCGGTTCAAGCGCCAGACCAACACAATCGGAATTGCTTTGGCATTTCTGCAGACAAGATATCATAAGAGATTTGTTATATTCACCCAATACCCAATTTTCGTGGAATTTATCTTCGAACCAAAAATAGTATGGCGAAGGTGTTGAAACTTCAAAACCCAATGTCTGGCAACTTATCCAGAGAAAAAAAGTTATAGTCTTAGTATTTATCATTATTGCGAGATAACTTCCGGGAAAAACTATGAAACGATGAATCAAATGTAAATAACTTTGTTGTACTTTAAACACTGTTTTTCGTACCTAAGCATCTCCTATATATATTATTAACATCGCAATTAATTTCTTTTTTAATTCACGAAATACGAAATTATAATAAAAATGATTTTATTATTTTTAGAAATAACTAAGCAACCGAAAAAGCATGCAACGTCTAGCAAATAAGCTATTCAAAACTTTTAATATTTTATTCTTCCTTTTACACGAAGTATAAAAAATTCATAAAATGCATCTATAATCAAAACATTTTGGTAGGTCTAGGTAGGGGCTATGCCTGATGAAAGGTCATCACGACAACAAACAATGTTGCAAGCGAAGGAAGAAAAAAACACCGATTTAGAAACAAAGTACTTTTGTTGTAAATTTTTTTAACAAAAGCAGTCTAAAAATAGAATAATTGACATTCTAAGCAGAAAAGTTTCTTCATCAAATAAGTATTTATAATTAATGAAAAAATAAGTAATATTGCAGAATTTTATACAGTATTGTAACAAATAATCATAACAGACAGAAATGTTTATATTGAGGTTAATTATAATGTTTAATTATAATGCAAATTATCATAAAATTTCTATTTGAAATCTTTCATATTTTATGCTGTATATTCATGTATTTATGAGATTATCTATTGCAGAATATTTTAATTAAAAAGATACCAGCCTCCATAAGCCAATGCATTAAGAAATTTTTATTTAAGGTAGAAAGATTATAGCTTCAATGTAATTTATCATAATTTACTTCCTTAAAAAAATTTTATATATGTAGAATTTATGTTATAAAAGGCGTAAAAACAGTTACATAAATTTGATAAAATGATAAATTACCTGGAAAATAAATTAATTACCAAAAATTTTTAATTATCTGGACGATCTCAATCCAGATAATTTAACATTTTTGGCACTTGTTTTGAGTATAGATGTGGGCATTCTTATAACAGTTTTAATATTTTGCCATATTTATTTTGTCTGAAAAATACTGAAACAAAACTAATTTTCGATTCTAATGTATTTTTCATACTGGAAAGCCGACCGGCCTGTGTAGGGGGCAGAGAACTGTCCTTGCATCAGAAAGGTTCTGGGTTCGAATCCCGGGCAAGACATGGATGTTTCTTTCTCTCTATCTAAGCTCTATGTCCTTTCTCCTTTGTGTGTGAATGTGACCCGCCCTATAAACGGGTTGTGGTAGTGCGACGTGGACGGCGCTGCTCCACCACCGTGGCTTCGCCACAGGTACCAACTGGGTAACGAAAAGAGAGTCTGGCACTTTGTGGCCAATGGATAATAGTTCGAAGCGCCAGCCATTAAAAAAAAAATTCATACTGGAAAAGCCAATCGAATCTGGAAATTTCGTTGAGCAACGCAGTTTAATACGGAACGCCAAGAGATTGTTTATAATCTGGTCCAACCACGGAAACTAAAGCTTTTTGAAAACATTTTTCAACAAAAATTGCTTTCTGAGAAACAGTGCTGGGCATTTTTGTTTTAAATAAACTATAAAAAGGTAGTTGAATATCAAGTTTTTGACTGAAACTTTCATCTTCCAAAAGAATAGTTTAAAAAGTGATTCTGCGTCAAAACTTTCTTAATTTTTTAAGAAATTCTAAGATATTTATTTGGAAATTTATCAATCATAAAGAAAAGTAGTAGCTTATTTTAAGAGTAAGCAAGGGTAAGGAATTCTTAGTATAAATAACTTAAACAAAAGTTTAGATTTTAGAAAAAATAGAATAATGCCTTATGAGAGCGAAGACTCCATAATTACAAGATGTCAAAATACAAGGCTTATTTTGCAAAAAGTCTTTACATTTTGTGTATCTCCATGGATATTGGTACTGAGTGTGCTATCTGTGTGTTTAGAAGAGCGAAAGGTTTTAAGTTCATATTGCAATCAACAAGTAACCTTAAAGTTATTTTGACTGTGAAATCAACTTGGAATCTTTCCCTTCGGAAAACAAATATTGATCAATCAGCATATGCATGACTTCATATATATTTTGAGCATATGCACAAAATTTAAAGACTTTGCTAAATAAAATGTATCGTTGACGAAGATATTTCTCTCCACTACTCCAATTTCTTTGAAAATTGCCGCTTAAAACAGTTAACTAATCTCTTCATATGAAAGTTTTTCTGCCATGCGAGTACAAAGGTCATGAACCACATTTTCGTGCATAAGTTTAATGCAATACTTTTATTTATTCATAATCAGAATAAAAAACAGATAGTGAGATCTTTTATAATTTTATTTAATAAAACTCAAAACAGTTTACTGTAGTTATACAAAATATCTGATTCATATGCAACTAATTAGTTTCGCGAAATTAATTTCTACCTAGTTAAACACACGATTAATGTAAGGCTAGTGTCTTAAAATGTAAATATCTTGATATGAAGTAGATATCTTAAAATGTAGATATCTTGATAATTATCAAAATTAATAAACCTTTTTTTTTTTTGCTGATAAAATTTGAGCAAAAATAAGGAAATACAATAAAAATTTAAATTGGAAAAACATATTTATGAGAACTTACTTTTTGAGAAAAATTAAAGCTCTTAATCATAAAATTAAAACATTTCGTAAAAGGTAATGCAATTTAAGTTCTCCAACCTTGTTTATTTTATTAAATCCTAGCTTTATAAAACTTAAACTCTTAAAATGAAACGTAAATTGAAAATTTCCTAAGAAATTATAAAATGAACTAATCATTTTAAAAAGAGGAAAATTCTTCAATGGATCCAAAGTGAAGATGACCCTTTTTAAAATGATCAATTCATTTTAAAATTTAAACTACTCTAGAAATTTAAAAAGGAAATATTTTAAATGAGAATTAAAAGAAAAACTATTGCTAATCTAGTCAAATTAGGCGAGCACCTAACAAATTACGATAATAACGCGGATAAAATTTGGCATAAACTTTTTAAATTTGAATTTAAAAGTTCGAATTTAGATTTTATAAGAGTATTGCAGTGAAATCGATGTAGAGTTTATTTGCACTGCTTTAAAAATTAAAAACTAAATGTATTGATACTCAACTAAAAAGTATTCAATTTAAAGTAAAAAATAGATTTTGCAAAACTAAAGAAAAATTAAATTTATTATTCAACAAATGGAGAGTGAGTGAGTAACTTCTCTTTATTGAATTCCCGGTACAGCGACAATATAGTTTTTTTTTATCTAGATTTTGTTTCTCTTGTTAACATCAAAGTACAGTTTTTAACTATTATCTTGAAAATTAAATAAAAATTGCATTGCCTTGCTTAATTTAACTTATATCTTTAATATACTTTATCCGGAAATTGAGAATATCGGAAAAAAATAACTAGTTCTCGAAATGTAACACCTAAAACTGATAAGATTATCAACAATTCAAATTATTTGAACTCTATAGCTTTTTTCATTTGCAAACTCCATTTTTTTAAATCTTATATGATAATTAAATAAAATTCCAAAGTAAGACAAGTATATTTAAAGGTTGTTTTCTATTTCATTATAAATTAGAAAAGTATGATTTAATGCATTTTTATACGAAATAAGAAAGCTAAGTGGCAAATGTAGCAGGGAAATTTAGATGAAAATTAAAACGGCAGTTCATCCCAAATAGGCTTTTAAATATAACAACCATTACATTAACATCAATGAGAAAAGGAGCTGGTAGAATTAACTTATTTCACTCGGAATAAAGAGTTTACATTTTGGAATAAAATATTATTTATCAATTTTATATATATTATTATTATATATATATATGTAAACCATAACAGTGACATAAATGAGAAAAGTACCTAGTAGAATTGGCTTAAAGTCTGGATAAAGTGTCCAATTAGTATAATATAATGTTAAATTCAAGACAATTCCAGTTATACAATGTTTGAAGATAAGTGGCAAATATAACAGGGAAATTTCAAGGAATTAAAACTGCAGTTCAGCCTAAATAGGTATATCAGTACAACAGTACTTGGTAGAATTTGCTTATATCACTCGGAATAAAGCAGACAATTATTACAAAACAATGTTAAATGCGAAACTGGCTGTACAATGTTGTAAGATACTTTAGAAAATTAACATTTCACTAATTTTCAACCCATTGCAGAAGGTAAGGGAAATACTGGATTGGGTCAAAGTAGCCTTCGCGGAGGACTTACATGGAACTAATCCGCATTTGCGTTACAAGGAGAGGAAAAAGGCAAAAACCTCCCACTGTTAAACTGACGGCGATGGATACTAACCCATGATCCGTCTACCGCTTAGGATATCTTAACATTTAAAGTGAAAAGCTTTAATTCTTGCAATATACAGAGTGTTGGATTTTGTTGTGAGCAAATCAGACTGAAAGTAACGTAGAACAAACTGAAAACTTAACTTTTATTTACATCAAAAAGAATATAAAAACAAGAAAGATGTTGCCAGCACAGGAAACTCAAACTATCTAACTAATCTCGAACTCAAACCTCAACATCCTCCCCACCCTGGTCGACCTCGAGGGGGATGACCAGAGCTTAACGGACGGGTTATATTGTGACCTTTAACTCAAATCTCACAGGATCTTATTTTTCCATCTCGCCCTTCATGCAAGTTCACCACTCTAGCTTTCTTCCACTGTGCCGTGGTCGGACATCCTCTTGTAGGAGTACAATATCGCCAATTCGAACGTTAATGATATTGTCCTGATTACGAACTTGATGAAATGACCGCAATTGAAGCAAATATTCCTTGGACCATTTTTCCAAAAGCAGTCGAGTAAGTCCTGCTGCTGCTTGTAGATTTTTCTTAGCTTTATGTTGTTATTTGGGCTGGATGGAATGGCCATTAGTTTTCGTCCTGTCAAGAAATGGCTTGGTATTAAGGCTGTGGAACTGTCATCTTTTCCATCTTCGTATACCAATGGTCGGCTGTTCAGAGCGGCTTCTATTCCAATGAGGGCCGTGGACAGACCTTCCTCGTCAAGAAGTGCTCGTCCGAGTACCTTTCGTAGACATCGCTTGACAACTCC